GAGTGAATCAGTGATTGAATGTGTAACACGGTAGCAGGCAGTGATTAACACCTAAGGAAACTGCAGATCAACCAACGGAAGAACTCAATAGAAGACAATGCAGCAACCGGGACATCTCTAAACGTCACTGATCAAGGGCTAGAAGCCCTGGTCTGTGTTAATCAACGCCGGGGACCAACTTTTGGGCTGAATATCTCCAAATCGACCGCTCCCAGAGCCCTATTCAAAATTCATCAACGGACTCCCAAACCTGCACGTACGTGTGGACGACCCCTGGGGCTGACAGATGCCATCCAGTAGCCACCGAGGGGGAAGTCCCACGAGGGTCAATGACCCCTGGATTGGGCAAACCTGAAAACTGGAGAGTCACCAAAGTCTGCCAAGGACAGATAAAAAGCAGTGAAAAGTGACCCTCAGGGGTGCCCTCTTGATCTCCAACTTGACCCGCACCTGACCTGTCCAGCCAGAAGGACCAGCTGGCGACCCACTTCTGCAAGATAACACCATGCTGAAAGAAGCCTCAACAACAGACTCCAGTGCCTGTGGGATAGGTATACCTGACTCTTGTAGCTTGTCTGTGTGTGTGTGTGTGTGTGTGTGTGTGTGTGTAAGGACCAGCCCCAAGGTTTATGATTTAACTCATTACAGTGTTTCAATCCACCTAATAAACCAGAATTTTAAGGATCCCGAGTTGGACATTTGTAGCCAACAACGTTTGCCCTTTTCCAATCATCAAGAACCTCTCCTGATTGCCATGGGTTTTCAAAGATGATGGCCAGTGGCTCTGCAGTCTCATCAGTCACTCCCTCAGTACCCGAGGGTGCATCCCGTTCGGCACCATGGACTTGTATATTTCCAGCTTTTCTAAATAGTTCCTACCTGTTTTTTCACCACTGATGATTACTCGCATGCTTCCCAAACTGTGCTACCTGGTGCAGTAGCCTGAGAGCTGGCCTTGCCTGTCAAGACTGAGGTGAAAAGGGCATTGAATACTTCAGCCTTTTTCTCATCGTGTCACTAGGTTGCTGCCTCTATTTAGTAAGGGACCCACATTTTCCCTGATCTTTCTTTTGTTGCTGACATACTTGTAGAAACTTCTTACCCTTCATGTCCCTTGCTAGCTACAACTCCAATTGTGCTTTGGCCTTCTTGACTTCCCTGCATGCCTGAGCAATGCTTTTATACTCTTCCCTATTTATTTGTCCAAGTGTCCACTTATAAGCTGCTTTTTTGTGACTTGGTTTACTGAAGTCTTCCCTGCTAAGCCAAGCTGGTCTTCTGCTATACTTGCTGCACTCATTGTAAGGTTTCTTGCAAGTACAGCCAATTCTCCTGGACTCCTCTTCCCCTCAGACTGCCTTCCCAGGGGATCCTGACCATGAGTTCTGAATCAGTCTGCTTTTTTGAAGTCCACAGTCCTTACTCTGCTGCTCTCCATCCTTCCTTTCCTCAGTATCCTTAACTCAAATGTCTTGTGATTACTACTGCCCAAGTTGACATCCACTACTACATTCCCCACCAATTCTTCCCTGTTTGGAAGCAGCAGCTCAAGAAGAGCATGGCCCTTAGTTAGCCACTCCAGCACTCCTGCCATGAAGTTGTGCCCAATACTCTCCAAAAGCTTCCTGGATTGCCTGTGCATTGCTGTATTGCCCTCCCAGCAGATGTCAAGATGACTGAAGCCCCCCCGTGAGAAACAGCACTTGTGATTGGGAAGCTTTCACTAGCTGTTTGAAGAAGCCTCATCCACTGCTTCCTCCTGGTCTGGTGGTCTATAGCGACACCCAGTACAATATTACCCTTGTTGCTCTCCCCTCTAACCTTAACCTAGAGATTTTCAACAGGCCTATCTCCAATTTCATACTGGATTTCTGAGCAATTGTACATCTCTTTTACATACAGTGCAATTCTTCCTCCTCTCCTCCCCTGCCTGTCCTTCCTGAACAGTTTGTACCCACCCAAGACAGTGCTCCAGTTGTGTGAGCTATCCCACCAAGTCTCTGTTATTCCAAGCATGTCATAGTTCTGTGACTGAGTGAGGACTTCTAATTCTTTCTGCTTGTTTTCCAGGCTCTGTGTATTCGTGTACAGGCACCTGAGGTAAGTAGTCAATTGCCCTGATTTGTCAGGACATATGAGAACACCTCCCACCACCCCTCCTGCTTGCTCTTCCTCTAGGTCTCCCACATCCCCACCTACCTCAGGACTTTGGTCTCCATTCCCTGGTGAGCCTAGCTTAAAACCCTCCTCACTCGGTTAGTGAGCCTGCCTGCAAAGATGTTCTTCCCTCTCTTCATCAGATGGATCCCATCTCTCCCCAGCAATCCTTTCTCTTGGAAGAGCATCCATGGTGAAATCAGCCAAATCCCTGCTGGCAACACCACCTGTGCAGCAGGTATTGATTTGCAGGATGCACCTGTTCCTGCCTGGGCCCTTTCCCTTGACAAAAGATCGAAGACAACACTACATGAGCCCCAGACCCTTTCACCTAGAGCCCTGTAGTCACTTTTAATCCTCTCAGTGATGAGAAGAGAGGGCCTTGTATGAAAGGGGTGCTTGGCAGGTTTCACACAGAAATGTCTTATCTCAGTGCTCTAGGAAAGAGATATACAGGTAGTGGTGTTGAAGAATTAGCCATTTGCTGCAGGGGTTGTGGCTGGACGTAACGCACAGAGTTTTTGAGTAAACATTACAACAGATGAATGTGCCTCCACAAACTAGTAACAGAAAATTTACTGAATATGCTAATCCATAGGTACCTCCTGAAGACTCCTCAAGCAACTGACAGCTTGAAACAGTTGGTAGATATCACTACAGAAAATGAACATGATGAATTCATCAGTTCAACTGCTTTTCAGGAATGGGTACGTTCAGCATTTGAAGAAGTGCTTAGTTGTGAATCAGATATGCCCGAGTATTTTCTGTCTTGTATCACTGATGTTGAAATCCCTTTTTGACATTACCATTGTCTGAGGAGTGGAGCAAATTTTGAAGGGTGCTTATCAACTTCCACTGTTAGCAGCTTATGGAAATGTCAACTATCTAGGATACCTGTCCTTGTATTACTGGTGAATGACAACATTGAGAATATGAAAAGGTGCACATGGCTACAATGTTTTGATTTTTGGTGACTGGAAAGACTTACAGCAAACTGTCTCCAGACCAGGTCATTGAAATGACCATGAACAAAGAATCCAAGAACAAAAGTAGTGGGGGCCAGATTGGATTTACCAAGAATCTATCCATGGTTGCAGTCAACATACCCAGTAGACCAGTTATTATGCAGTTAAGGGAAAAACTAAAACAGGTGCCTCATTTCAAGCAACACTTGTATCGCCATCCAGAACTGGGTCCACCAAGAATGGAGATGGACTGCAAGGTTGCTGATTCTGTGAAGACCGCTCTGGAAGAATGGGATGCTGACCCATGGGATCTGCATCTATGAGGGTAATGTGATGGTGGAAAACATTTTGGATAGACTTTCTTCCAGAACTCAGTCAATACATGAAATTTACCACATGGAAAAGCAAAACATTTGCGACAAAGACAGCTGCAACCACGAGCAAGCAAGAGAGTATAGGAAGATGGTTGACTACACTTCAATGAAACAAGTCACTGACCTTCTAACAAGCAAAAAAAAAAGACAACCATAACTTCAGAAGAAATCATGCAATACAGAATTACTGCTGAGCCTTTTGCTCTGGACAGCAGATGGAATGTTCCAGAAACCTGTCAAATCAAAGTTCATAACATTGATGAACCTCCAGTTGATCTCACCACCATCATATTATCGTGCATTAATAGATGTTGGAATGAAATGGAATAAAGTCCAAATAAAGTCCCACCAAGCAACACATGGTCTGAGTAAGTCCTCAGTTTCTTCAAGTATGTTGCTGGCTGACATCCACAAGCAGTGGCATTTCATTTCATGAATGCTGTTTATGATGAAGAACTGTTGAAGACTAGTACAAAACAGCATGAGCAACAGCCTCGCTCAAAGCCATTTGGGTTCAATTCCTAATGTCTATGCTGTTTCTGACCAGCAAATGCCTACTGGAGCATCCTGGCACTCATTTCTAACAAAGCATTCTAACAAAATGAGACCATATTTCCTCTAGAATGAATGCTGTTCTTACTTCCACCACGCTGACCTATACTTCACAATTAATCCAATCTGTTAGAATTTAAAATCCAGAAAACAGAGCGTGCTTTGTATTGAAATCTCCATGTGAGGCTGGCAAAATGGCGTTTCCTCCATACACTCTTGATTTCGAAGATACTTATGTATAGATTGTTGCTTCCTACATGAGTCATGTGACTAAGCAGATATGAGCATGTACAAGAAGAAACCAGGAGACACCATCATTCTACTACTGCTGTTCGTTATTTCCCAAGTGTGATGTAGCATCTGCTGGTCTTGGGGCTTACAGATGCATTGGAGCAGACAGTGGGAGGTTTCTTTGGCTGTGGTAAAGTGACATCAATGAAGCAAACCTTACAGTCAAAAGATATGATGTATATGGAGACTATGCAACAACTTGCAAAAAAAAGTGAGAAGCTTACTGAAGATCCATTCCATAAACTGGCTTTATTCATTGTCAGAATACTTTACAGTGCGAGCGATAGTTCTCCACTATGAATGGAGAGATTCACAACATGCACAAAATTGTGATCTAACAAATTTTGGGTGGACATCAGTGTTGGATGTGTTGGAACCTGATGCATATTAAAAGTGGACTGCCAGATGGAATGAAATTGCCTCTAATCCATGAAAATGGACATTCAGATGAGCCAATTAAAGCTACTGTTGTAGTGTCATCTGAAGAAGATAGTGATACAGAAGAATGCCTAGATTAAAAATATCCAGTGTATTCCATATTACAGACTTGACTTCAAATTTGAGTTGCAGTGTTTTATTTTACTTAAATGTATTCCATAATAACTTGTACCTTTGTTATTAATAATATTAAATATGACTTTGAAAAAAATAGATGGTAAAACTTTCCACTTGAAAAATACTTTTGGTGTTGCTAAAAAAAAGCAGTCAGTATTGATGGTTTTTGCATTTAAAGGCTTGGAGATGCCAAACAATGGGTTATTACTTATCAAAAGACAAAGGAAGCTTGTAGGCTAATTACAATACCTATTTAAAGTAGTTTAGAAAAATCAAAATTATTCATCTTGTTTGTTATGACCACCATTTTTAAAGACAGAGGCTAAATGCCAAAATTAGAAAAGTAACCCCCCCAGGCTAAATTTCATCCTAAGCCACTCAAAAATGATTTCCAGTCATAAAAAGGTCCCCTAAAAAAAACAATGCATAGGCTATATATATATCTATATATATAGTCCATGCATTTTTAAGGGACTTATTTATGACTGGAAATATATATATGATACATATATATGACTAGACTATATAGGCAGATACATCCTTTTCTTTATTGATCCATAACCACAGTTCTTTGAAGAGGATCAGTTTGTTTTCCATACTAGGAAAGGCTATGTGGCTCACTACTTAGTTCCAGAAAGTCAGAAGTTTGCTAGGCATAGAAACTGGAGGGTTCTAAATGGCTTATAAAGTAGATTTTCAGCTGGAATTACAGCCACCTGTTAGAGACTTTACAAACCCAGAAAATCAAGAGACTGGCCAAGGCTATGTTATGAAGCTCTGCTGTCATAGCTGTATCAGCCAGGAATGGGAGAGGGAAAAGAAAATAAATCAGTCATTCCCCATCACCTGTACAGCTATGCTAGTCAAATCCTTGGTGTAAATACAGACAGACTATCATATTGGCTTTGGTGGTAGGTAATGGGGGTAGCAATTCTAGCAAAAATAGACATGCTGCATGCTCATTAGACAGCTCTGTCAATGTAGCTATAACAGAAGAGGCTCTTCTAGTGTAGAAAAGCCTTCAGGTAATTTTAGTAGACAATTCTTGTAGCTCTGAATCTGTACTTTACATGGTAGAGCCCTCTAGTCCACTGCTGAAAAAGAGCACTGGGAAAACCCTTGTTTGCTCCATGCTCCTCTGCATCTAATTCACATTTCCAAGAATTGGTGGTTTCAAGAGTTCTTCAGAAGCAAAGAGGAATGTACGACTAAACAGGGTGGAAGTAAAAATACGAGCATCTAAATATCCTAGATCTAGCCAGGAGGGTAAGAATAGGAAGAAGAGCCCCTGGGAAGAGGAATGCCAGCCATAAGAACCAAAAAGAAACCATTTGAGCACATCAGGAAAAGCAGCCTCTCTCCCCCCCCCCCTTTTTTTTATATTGTTTTAAAGTGGAAGAGAAAGGAAAATGGCTTGAATGCTTTTTCTTCACTCAAACACAAATGCAAGGAAGCTTGCTGCAGTCACAATGGCAAGCATCTTCAGATGTCCAGACTTGGAGGCTGTAGAAGAGATCAAAACAATAACTTCAGTTCCTGCCAACCCCCAGCAAAAGCATGTACATGCTTTAGAGCCTAAACTGAGTGACACGCTAGCTTGACAAATCTCCACAAATTTCAAATGTGAATGAAGGGTGTTCTTGGTATTCAAATGTGAATCAGGTATTTATTTAACACTGAGGGGAGAAGCTGTGTAGCAGAAACTTTGTAAGCAGTTTAGTAAGCCTCAAAATGTATTAGGTGAGAGAAGCCTAAAAAAGTCCAAGAAGGAAAATAAAGGCAAGTTACCAGCAAGTTTTATTGATAAATAACATTTTGTTTTTTCTCTTGTTCTGTATTCTTCACTCCAACATTCTAATGCTACAGTTGTAAACAAAGCGCAAGTTCTTGGAAAGTCAATTAATTGTGAAATAAAAGCAAAAAAAGCCTGTTAAATATCTTTCACAGACTGCAAGCATCCGATTTTTCAAACCTACTGCCTTCATATTAAATGTATATATGTGTATAATATATATTATTCATTCATTCAAGACCATGAAAGAACAGTTAAATTTATCTTTAAAAATCCTGCTATTTTTTTTATTGCTAAAGAATCTGGATTAGTTGCTATGGTTTCAGAAGCAGTGATTAATTAGCCTTTGAAATCTCCACAAGATATTGAGACATGAAATCATGAATCCATTTATCAGTATCGGGTAGTGAGGTGTCCACTAAGTATGTTACTATTTTTCGGTCCCAAGAATTACTGCTTTCATTAACTGCCTGTATCAGTGCCACCAGGGGTTTCTTCTCTACATGATTTCGAAACACTATTGATGCTTCTTCTGACCACTGCTGGAATTTCACTCCTAGGACAAACAAAGAAAAGCATAAGGTCACTTAAAGGAGATGCTTAAAAGAAAGGTTCTTGGCAATTCTAATGCCTGAGACAACAAAGATACTCAAACATATTGCTGTCAAGAGAAAGAAGAATGCACAGTTCTATTTAAAGGGATACAGGTTATAGCCATATTGGTCTGCAGGCAAAAGGAATCAGAACTTGTGGT